AACATCAGAGGACACTCACAGCTTGCTTTGGATTGTAAGTACAAATTTCCCAGCAAACATATCACACTTTGAATAATTAATCCTTAATGCTGTTGATGTAATCCATAACATTCTCATTTAAGTAATGTTAGAAAATGAATATGCTTAGCCCATGGCATGCTAGGTTTCAAATGAAATTTTGAATTAAAGTAGAATTCATGCTTTCCACATGTCTATAATAATACCTTTTTATGTATGTAGTACAATTATTTCATATAGCATTTTGAGTAGCTGTTGATGAAATCTAAACATTCAGGCATGGAGGCATTTTCAGCAAGGAACATTGGAGGAGCTTTTTGATCCAAACTTAATGTTGAACAATGACACCAGTAGCAACATGAAGAAGGAAATAAAAAGTGTGATACACATAGGGCTTCTTTGCATACAAGAAGTCCCATCACTTAGACCATCGATGTCTATGGCTCTACAAATGTTATCTAAAAATATTGAACCTTTACCTTCACCTTCTAACCCCCCTTGTATACCTGAAACCAACACAGAAACAAATGAGTTTGGTCAAATCCCTGCTTTTAGGCATAGATTAAATAATCCTGCTTCACTTCCTACTGTTACACATACTTCTTTTAGTCCAAGGTAGATATATGTTTGTACAAATTTTAGAGAAAGAATCATCACTTTTGTAATGATGAGCAACTTTGTGTAGATTGTATAAATATTAGTGCTAACTTCATCATTTTGCCCTTTCTGGAAAAGAGCGAATATGTTGGAAGTAGACATGTTGTAGCTCAATCACATTTTTTTTGGTAACAAGTTGCGGGCTGTTTATAATCTATAAATGGAACCATTCAGGAATAGGTCGGCATTTGGCACGTTTGATACATCATGTGAACGGTTAAGGAATGAACCATTAAGATCATGTGAACGGTTAAGGAATGAACCATTAAGAGGTTGGATCCTTTAAGAAGTTGAATCATTTATTACTAAACTAGTTTATAACCCATGGAAACTATGGTTACAAAATTAATTAAACTTTAATAGTAAAAAAACTCAAAATTATTAATCACATATTTTAAATAAATTATTAATTAAGAGATTTTTTTAGTTATATAAAATTATAATCA